GGAGTATTGTATATATATACACGGTGGCCATTTAAAAACAAAACTGCCAATTTTGGGCATTCGAGGTCATTTACGGAAAAACGCTTGGACCCGTCAATTTTTAATTTTAGGGGGAAATATTTTTTTGCTAGTTTCGCCCCCTGAACGGAAACCCTTTAGCGAGGGTGAAACTTACCCCTAAAAATCTTAAATGAAATGATAGCTTATTTTGGAGGTATTTTTAAATAGATTATATCCTCCGAGTTTTAAATCGCTACTGTCTTCCTAGCCATGATCTTTTAACGATTTTTATTTTTTGTATAAAAGCTTACCAGTTACCGAGTAAATGCTGAAATGCTGACCCTGGGCCTCAATGCAATAATAGAGGTTTTGTTCAAAACGCCATCGAACATTTTGAAGAATCTGTTGGGTGATTTGATGACATTCATCAATTATCCGTTGTCGCAGATTTTCGAGTGATGTTGGCTGTGTGCCATAAATTTTAGTTTTTAGGTAGCCCTATAAAAAATCTAACGGGCTTAGGTCCGGAGACCGTGGGGGCCACTCAATACTTCCTCTTCTTTCGATCAATTGACCTGGAAACGTTTGATTCAAATACTGACGAACAGTGGCGCACCGTCTTGCTGGAATATTAAGTTGTTTGCTATGTACTGATCGTCATTCTCAATCAACTCTAGTAATGCTGGATAAATGACGTTTCCTAATAATTCCAGATACATATCTGCAGTTAAAATTCCAGGTAAAAAAAAGGGGCCAATCATATGGTTACCAAAAATGCCAGCCCAAACATTCAGTTTTTCCGCATGTTGCGTATGCACTTCATGAAATATTTTGGGATTTGAATCGAACCAATAACGACAGTTGAGACGATTTGCCGTACCATTTAGGAAGAAAGTGCATTCGTCTGAAAAACAGACGTTGAAAAGAAATTGCTGATCATTTATTGCCCGTTCAATCATAATTTCATAAAATTGTAATCGCCTATCAAAATTGTCTTCATTAAATTCTTTTACCAGATGTATTTTGTAGGGAATAAACTTGTGGTTTTTCAATATCTTCTGAATGCTATTTCTCTTAATATCAGATGTACTTAATGTGGGTTCATGAACAACATGCCTCTGTAGCTTCATTTACTACAGCATTTTCCATTTCACGATATTTGTTAGCTACTGACCCCGTTTCTCAAAATTTTTGAAATAACTCCAAAATATACTTTCGATAGACTTGGATTTTGATGTTGAATAGTTGGGTAGTTCTATTAGCACATTTATCGGGCACGGTGGTGTAGCGGTCTATCGCGCTTATATTCATTTATAGGCAATTTTATGAGTCTGAGACTGCTGGGTTTCGAATCCCAGACCAGACCAGACCATGTGGATTTTTAATTAAATTGCATGGTTCGGTTTAGGATTTGATGTGTGGCGTATTAATAGAAATTCAATTTCTGTTGATATGACATGCAGATTAAAAAAATTCGCCATACATTACCGTCTCGATGATGGTGGGTGAGGTTTTCCGGGTTTTCCTCACCTGTAAGTCAAATGGCACCATCAATCATCTTTAAGTCGCCCCGGAGCGCCACGGCAAATAATAATAATAGCCGTCCCTTTCCCCGGACAAGCTCAGCTTTTGGGGTTAAAATTCACTCGTAAGGGGGTGAATTAGGGAGAGTATTATTATTATTATTATTATTATTGTTAGTAAAAAAATGAAATTATTTGCACCCTCTCAGCAATTGAGTAAACCATTATCACTGATATGCTACTTTTGTGCCGACTCTACAACGAAATAAACTAAACCTTACTACTTTACGGCGACCAAATACTATCATCTGATAACAATAATTGAAAGCCACAGGAATAAAACTAGAATTGTTACAGAGAATTAATTTTTTTTATATATAATAATGTAAAAATTATGTTAAACCGGTTTTGTACTTTTGGTTAGCCACTGTATGGGTTACAAAGATAGTAGCGCTGTAAAACTTGGGGATTATTATCTAGGTAAAAATACCTTCAAAATAAGATATCATTCGACCATCTCTCCATTTAAGATTTTACTGGTGAGTCTCACCCCCGATAGAGGGTTTCCGCTCAGGGGACAAAACTGGCAAAAAAATGTTTCTCCCTAAAATCACAAATTGACGGGTCCGAGCGTTTTTCGCCAGTATTACTAGAGAGCTGTTTCTGACTCTAAATGAACGTTCTTTTCTAAAGGTATTTGATCGGGAGTAGCTTTCAAATGTTTTCCCTTCTCCCCTCAAGTATTTGCTTAATAGCACATGTACAAAGCTCTTGTCTTGATAAATTGTAGACCATTATTATTAGTCTTTATTCTTTTACACCAAGAATAATAAACCCTTAGGTTTCAAGTTCAATGCGTTGTCTATGACAATTCACGGCGACTTTTTTATTACAAAAATGCAGCTCCAAACGATAATATTTTATCTAGGTATCCTGTCGCTGTACCAACTTGGGCCACGACATCTTCATTTCACTTATTGGCACTTTTTGTCCTAGTTGTGCTATGGATGCTCCGCACCTGTGTTCGGCGCCTATGTCTAATTTGAGCTCTTTTCGTTTGTGAAAAAATTAAGCATACGTACTTGTAGGTATGACTATTTTAAACAAAAAATCTTAGTCGTTGCACAAAAGTTTACTATTCATTTATTTAGTATTAAAAATGCAACAATTCATTGATACTAATTTTCCTTATCCTAACAATATTTTATAATATTATAACTATTGACGTTGTTTTACCCTACCTAGCACCCCGATTGACGCCCTTTCCTGCAAAATTGATAAAATAATCGAAAAAATTGCTTATTTTTATTTACAAAAAATTATTTGTGCCCTTTATTGATTTGCATAAGATATGGAACTTAGGTTTTTTGTTTACATTAGCAATACGTACAAGTACCTACCTATGATTAATTTTTGCGTAATCGTAAAGAGCTCAAACTAGACATTTACTTATACTTTTTCTACCACCTTCATGAGTACAAAACTAATGTTAATGAAAATTTGAGAAAACCCTCACATTCTGGGTCCATTTTACTCGATAGCCGCAAAGCTCCTCGCCTATAAGGGCCCTTTGGAGAGCGAAGGCACTAAAAAAACGAAACAGCTGAGCGCTGGGAACATTTTCCATCCAACAACGACGCGTCGGCGGCGACATACTTGTCTGCAGCGGCGAGCGGCTTCATCCAACGTGAGCTGTGCCCTGCTGTGGTATGGTAAAAAGCTCTCGGTACCCCGGTGCATCGGTAACACCTCTTAATAATGTAGACTCGCATACACTGCATCTCCAGCGAGGTCTAGTAGCTTCCGGTCGCGGGTCTGCGGGTCGATTCACAATTATTGTTCTCTTCTTGTAAATAAATTGTAAATAAACACAGTAGGCAGTGTGTGTGCGCGCTGTGTGCCGGCGTGGAGAAGTGTCAGATGTAGGATTTTTGTAGTACCTAGTACTTTTTCTGAAAGAAAAACGCAGTTGAATGTTTAGTTCAGATTTTTTTGTGGATTTTGAAGAATTTTTTACTGGATAAGAGAGGTAAATAGTTGTTATTTTTATTTTAAATTAGAATTAAAATGGTTTGGCCAATTTTGCTATCTATTTATTTCAAAATCTTCAATTAAAACTTTAACTTTTTTTAAAATAGGGTTTTCTGTTCCTTTCATTAAATAAAATATTAATTATATAGGTACTAGAAAGAAACCGGATACTAATAAATTAATTTTTAATAATGTCTTAATACTACAGGGTGGTTAGGCAAGGACGGCTCCAGACTGAATTTTCGGAGGAGACCATTGCTATTAGTCTTTCTATCTACATTTTGAAATAGGTCTTCACTCAAATTGAAAGGGTTAAATCGTGAATTATATGACAGAAGTACCTACCTTTTTAATTTCTAGATGGTAAGGAGGAAATCCTACATGGAAATAAGTGTACACATAACTGTTTCTAATTTTGGTAGTAATTGTAAAATGCGACTAAAAACAAACTTTATAAAACATTTGGTTTATTCCATGCACATGGGAAATGAACATAAAAGATATGGCTTAGAAAAATTTATTTTGGGGGCTAGTTTTAATGGCCTGGTAGGAACTGATTGTATAATTGAAATTAAATGCCCTGCTTCTGCTTCAAAGTTAACATCGCAAAATGCAATAAGGCAAAAAATTATAAAATATGTAATAATTAACGACTATAATAATATACATTTGAAACAAAAACACAACTATTTCTATCAGGTCTAGTGCCAGCTTCACATAACAAAAAGGCAATTTTGTTTTTTCGTGTTGTGGACCCCTCGGTTTTTTTAGTGGAAAAAATTAAACGAGACAATAATTTCTAGCATAATAGGTACAATGCAAAGAAAACTCCAGTGTTTTTATATGAATTATTGTATTCTCCCAGAAATATTCGACTCTCGTTTATAAGGGGGTTAGAAATACGAAACCCTCCTCGAAATGTTGTTCATGAATGAGTAAGTATGGATCGTAATAAATGTTATACATACAAATTGATTTTATTTTTTAGCAATACATTGTGAGCAAGTAAAGTCCTGTTAAAAAAAATATGTTAACTGAATATCCTTTATCTGTCGACAATCTCGTACATACCTGCGATTGTCTACATATAAGTAATTTACAATTATTAATTTTGTTTGCAATTAAATCATAATATTTTAGTTTACAATCTACAGTGATGTAAATAATAGTAATAATTAATTATTGCTGATTTTGTTTTTTCTTGTCATAAAAAATGTCTGATCTTCATAGGTACTGAAAAATGTCTAAGTGGCCGTTTCATATACTACTTATTTAAATAATACCTATAGGGTCAGATTTGGTTCTGCGCCAATTTTTATCATCTCGAGCAATAAGCGACTTTTGTACTAAATTTTGCTATACTAAAAACTAAAACGCTCATCCGAATCCGACTTGAGTATATCTCAAATAAACATCCTACAGACATCGAGCGCGCGACGTTGCCAAATTGGATTGAGAGGTACTACGTCGTGGATTATTTACCAAATTTGAAATCTAAGTTAGGAGCGTACTGGATAACGCTCTTAAATAATTATTACACACAACAGGTTAGGACCTGGCAGAGAAACAAACCGAATAAACTGGTTGAGTTACAAGATGTAGGCCAAATATTTGGTAAAGCCTATGTCAGAGCAGCAACCCTCTCCAATGCTGAAAGTGGTTTCAAGACAATTGGCATTTTTCCTTATGATAATACCAAATTTGCGGACATTGATCTTACACCTTCACGATTAACAGAACGACAAAATACCTTTGACCCAACCCCAGATGATGTTTCAACAACAACATTATCTCTTCAACCAAAGGCGATTAACTGTGAACCCGAGACTCCTTCTACCTTCAAGGATTCAAATGCCTCAAAAAAATGTGGACCCTTATTTAGAAAATCCAACAAGTGTTAAAGACAAGCATACAACCACGACGAGTGCTACTAATTTAACAATTTCATTTTATGCCGCAAGCAAAGCTTTACAAAAAACACCACCTTTAAAGGAAATCATGTCTCCAAGTGATATTCTTCCGTTGCCTATAGTAGTGCCTAAAAATTTGAAAAAAGCCGGGAAACGTAGACGTGGTGAAACTGCGATTATCACATCATCCCCATACCTACTAGAGCTAAAAGAGAACTTGGATAAACCAACTTCAAAAGCAGTAAAAAGTGTTAAACGAAAGTTGTGTGAAGATCATAATGCTAAGAATAGACCCAAAAAATTAAGAAAGTCTAGGAAAATATCCACAGATTCGGAGAGTTCTACGGAAGAGCCCACAAACTACTATCAGGATTCTGACTTTGAAGAATCCAAGTTCCTATATGCCAAAGACATAACGACGTTAAACAAAGAGAAAGAAAATGAATTTACTTTGATACACAAGGATATTGATCCAGAAAATTTTGTATTGGTAACCCTAACAGAAATCACAAAGGGAAAATAAATTTGTTGGAAAAATTAAAGGGCAGTGTTTAAAAAAAATTAATGGTGAAGTTGCTTATGATATAATCTATATGCGAAACTATCGTAATCATTATGACTCATTTGTCTTTCCAGATTTACCTGATGAGAGTATCATATTAGAAAGTGACATTTTAGGCGTTCTGACAAATTTTCATTCTTTTCGACATGGGATAATTAAATTTTTCCTAATTATATTTTGTTGATACTTTTTAATTTTTAAATATATTTTGTAGCGCATTGTGAAATGTTTTTGTATTTGTTTCAATACATTTGGTTTTTTATAATCAATTGTAAATTATTTCTGCCTTGTCATATTACTCCACTCATCATTTTACTTTACCCTACTTTCCATTTCACTTTACCCCACCATAGGAGACAAAGTGAAAATAAGACACTCTTCGGAAGATTTATGCATAACAAGAAATTTTTATATATTATCTTTTTATATTTACATATAACTGTTCTAAATTCTGCAGCAACCAGATAGTTTTTTTTTATAAAATTCTGCTTCGATAAATGGCTAATTTAATCAACTTAAAAGATAAGCCAGTTCACTTTACCCCTCCTTCCCCTATTTATTTTGGTTTATTTTATTTTATAAATTAATAAAGTCATAAATTATTTTTTAATTAATTACTTATCTAAATAACCTAAAGTAATTTTTAAAATTTGTAGATTTTCATTAGTGGGTCGTAAAAGAAATACACTGTATAACTCGAGTGGATTGTCCATATCCACTATTGTTGCACAAACTACAATTTTTCTACTGGATATTGATATACTTATAATTTCCATACAAAAGTGCCATTTACTTTTAGAATACCCTATATAGCCTAGGCTAATCATATACCGGGTGTTCAAATTAAAGTGTTACAGTTAAATACCGCCGAAAATATGCATTTTAGAAAAAAAAGTTTCAGACAAAAGTTTTATAGTTTTTTGAGGAAAACATTTTGGCTAAATTCATTTTTTTATAGCTGACCATAATATGGTCATATCGAGGTGAACTTTGTTTTTTTAAATGGGAATCCCATTTTTTTCTTACTAATTCTTAAAGTACATAAAAAAATAAGAAACTTTTGTGGGACATATTTTTTTTATTGGACTTTTACCTTTTGAGTAACAGCTACTTGAAAATGTTGCTGCGCGAAAAAAAAGTTGGCCATGTTATGGTTAGCTATAAAAAACGATTTTAGCCAAAAGTTTTTCCCCACAAAACTATAAAACTGTCGTCTGAAACGTTTTTTTTATAAAAAGCGGTATACCGGGTGTCCCAGATTTTTTTGCCCAGCGGATATCTCGGTTATTTAATGATATAAAATTGTAAAAAAAAATATGAATAATATTTGTCTAGTAGCCTTTTAAATTCCACTACATAAAGTTATATTCATCAATCCACCCCATAGGAACAACCCCTAACTTTTTTTTTTCAAATGTCACCCCTATATTTTTTTTCGCTGATATAAATACTCAATTTGTCCCGAATGCAACGATATGATATTTGATATACTTTACAGAGTCATAAAGCCGGTAAAGACTAAAAACCAATGTTGTGGTTAAAGTCATTAATTTTGTATCACCTGGTATTTTCTTTTTATTTTGATTAGAATTGCTTCGTTTTTGTTTTTTTTTTTTTGTTACCTATAACTAACTAACGATATGCTTAGACCATTTCTGAAATTGTTCGCTAGCTATAAACAACAGACAAAATGCCCTTTACATTCACTCCAAACGAATATGTTGATATGCTTTTAATTTTTGGTGAGTGCCAAAAAAATTCTCGTGCTGCTGTACACTTGTATCAACAGAGGTTTCCTGAGCGCCGACAACCATCACGTAAAACATATTCTTATGTTGAGACTAGGATGAGAGAAGGGTCATTTCCAGGAAAAGACAAACATCGTCAACATGCTGCTGCTGTAAGAACTGAAGAAATGTGCATTAATGTATTAGCTTATGTGCAAGTACATCCCCAGATATCGACGCGAAACCTAGCTAACGAGGTTCATATTAGTAAGTCGTCAGTACAAAGAATCCTAAAATCCTATAATTTTCATCCGTTTAAAATTCATTTGCATCAGGAACTTAGAGCTGGAGATTTCGAAAGAAGGATAACATTAATAGCACATTTTGAAGATTTAATGGAACGAAATCCCAACATTTTGAACCAGATATTGTGGAGTGACGAATCAAGGTTTCACAATAATGCTACTGTAAATCGTCACAATATGCATTATTGGTCTCCTGAAAACCCTCACTGGGTTAGGGAAACTAACTTTCAGACCATCTGGGGAGTAAATGTGTGGTGTGGATTATTTCAGGGACGACTGATAGGTCCCTATTTTTTTCAAGGTACGTTAACTGGTGCTAGGTACTTACACTTTCTTGAAAATGACCTTCCAGAACTTCTTGAAGAAATTCCAATACAAGAAAGAGGTGCTATGTGGTGGCAACAAGATGGAGCTCCTCCACATAATAGTAATTTAGTTACCCAATTTTTAAACGAACGCTTTGAAAATCAGTGGATCGGAAACAGCGGCCCTTTGAGGTGGCCTGCGCGTTCACCAGATTTATCGCCTCAGGATTTTTTTTTATGGGGATATCTGAAGACCGTGGTATTTGAAACACAGCCATTGAATTTAGAAGATTTGCAAAATAAAATAGTACAAGCCTGCAATAACATTACACCAGAAATGATTACAGCGTCATGTACTCGTGAACTCATTCGACGTTTTGAAGCATGTTTGGCAAGTAATGGGGGCCATTTCGAACAATTTTTGTAAATATTCAATTATTTAAAAAACATATTAAGAGGTTTACCTATTCATTGGATTTGTTATTTTTTAATATAATAAAATGATAAAATGTAAACTAATTATTAATGACTTTAACCACAACATTGGTTTTTAGTCTTTACCGGCTTTATGACTCTGTAAAGTATATCAAAAATCATATCGTTGTATTCGGGACAAATTGAGTATTTATATCAGCGAAAAAAAATATAGGGGTGACATTTGAAAAAAAAAAAGTTAGGGGTTGTTCCTATGGGGTGGATTGATGAATATAACTTTATGTAGTGGAATTTAAAAGGCTACTAGACAAATATTATTCATATTTTTTTTTACAATTTTATATCATTAAATAACCGAGATATCCGCTGGGCAAAAAAATCTGGGACACCCGGTATAGCTGTAACGTTTTAATTTAAACACCCGGTATAAGAAAAATGGAAAAAGTGAGAGTAATCTAAATCTAAAATAATAATCTGGTGTTCTGGTTTAAAAAATATGTGTCTGGTTTATGTTAAAACATTTTTTTAATATCTCTTACAACAAGGAAGATATCAAAATGTTCCACAAGATTGGTAAATCAGTATATTTCTGAAATTTTTTTTTATGTGCTTACAACACTCTTTACACTGAGCTAAACAACTGTCTGACATAAAACTCTCATGCAATAAATGTCAGATGTAAACATACCTTTAGAGCATTTTCGATAACAACTGAATTGCCTACCTCGATCAGCTCATTAGTGCGTCTTTATCGAATTTAATATGAATTTCTTCTACAGGTGGTCCACATGTTTTTAGTTTTAATGGGACAATAATTCACGAAAATTAATTATTACTGTCTATACTTCGTTTTTAAACTAAATTGCCATTGTTAAAAAGACATTAATATTTTGTCAAAGTATACATTACTAAAGAATAGACTTTGAATAAACTAAATTATATGAAAAAGTTAGTAGCACGTCTTTAAATACTAATTGAAAATGCTTGGAAAAAATCAAGAAGATCGTACATTTAATTCCCATTGAATTTCGTAACCGATCGGATGTAATGAAGAGTGGGCGCAATCGGAACCCACGGAAGTTTATAATTCGGACGTTGATTGCACGTGAATAAAAAAAAATCAACGATTTGTGACATCGAATAGAGAAATGAGGTGCGCCTTTAAATCTTATTTTAGATTTATATACCTACAAGCATATTCGCATTCATATAGTGTTCGGGCGAACAGTTGTAACTAAAACGAGAAGCGAATGTTTAATTTTGAAATACTTTTCAAAGTATCCGTCAAAACTATTTACTGTTTTAAACCTCGAACACGTATAGGCTTGAATGTGAATATGAGCTTGTAGGTACCTAGATAGGGTTATTCAATAACGTTGCGTGAATATTATAGTCGGATTCGTTGAATAAAAAAAATAAAAAAAGTTTCAATAACTCCAAATCAAAAACGACCAAGACCACACTGATCCAGCAAAAACGAGACCAATCAGCAGATAAGGGTAGAAGAAATAAAGCAAAATTGTTTTCATACTTTCTCTTCTTATATCAAATTCGATTTTTATCAATATTTAGTTTTTGTTTTTACTTAAAAATGGATCAATATATCCGTGACATAAATTATGAGGTCTATAACACAGTTGAATGTTTTAATTCTATAGGTGTAAACAAATTTTTTAAAAATAATGAGAAACTTTTAGCATAATACATCAACATATTATACGTATGTAGTTTAAATGCACACTGAAGCGAATTTTAAATAATGCCAAAACAATAATAATTAACTTTTCAGGTGCATAATGTTCTACTTTATGCAACTAGTTGCATAAAGTAGATCGTTTTGACACTTGCTGCGATTACAAAATATGTCAAAATTAAAAAAAATATTTTTTTTTGCAATTAAATTTAATATATTGAATTTAAAACAAAATAAAATAGGGGCTAGTCCTGATGGCCTGGTTCTGGTAGGAACTGATTGTATAATTGAAATTAAATGCCCTGCTTCTGCTTCAAAATTAACATCACAAGATGCAATGAGGCAAAAAATGATAAAGTATGTAATAATTGACAAGAATAATATTAATATACATTTGAAACAAAATCACAACTATTTCTAGTCCAAGGCCAGCTTCACATAACAAAAAGAAAATGTTGCTTTTTCGTGGTATATGCCCCTCTGCGTTTTGTGATGGACTAAATTGAACGAGATGATAATTTCTGCAAAGTAAACTCCAGTGTTTTTACATGAATTGTGTTCTGCCAGAAATAATCGATCCTTGTTTTATAAGGGGGTTATAAATACGAAACCCTCCTCGAAATGATGCTCAATAATAAGTAATATGGATTGTAATAAATGTTTTTCATAAAAATTGTTTTTTATGTAGCAATTACATTG